TTAGGATGTGTTCTGAGATGACAGTAGAAGACGCTTACAATTGTCTACCATAAACATGGCACTGTTCGTAAGTTAGGTGATGCAAATTTTACGTAGAACCCTATATTTGAACTCAGAGTATCTTAGACACTTATAATTCTCCAGAAGATGATTCATTCCCATCTATCAAAATGATTGAGACATTTAATTCCTAAAAAACGAAACGAAGGCGGAATCGTGCCTGTAAGTATACTTCTGGATAGTAATTAAAATGAATGATCCTAAAACCAGGTGACCAGAAAGCTCACGCTCATCAAGCGTGTTTTTACCTTGAATAAAGTTGCATGTAAATCGGATAGAACTAGCTGCGTAGAAGTTCATTTGTGTAGACCATTTATTTCAGCCAAATGGTTTGGAAGTAAGATAGCTACGCACAAAAAGATTTCGCAGGTGTTTATTTGTTCAACTTAACAAAGAAAGCTGTTTGTTAGGACATAGATGCTAGAGCAGTTTCATCGACTCACAGAGATCACTGAAATAAGGGGCGCAACGTGTATTTCACTTCTTCATTCCTTCATTATCTACACGGTTTACTAACCAACCGTAATTACGCAATACATATCACGAAAACTGGAAGAAAAGGCAAGTAGCATGTATTCTACAAAATGAACTGGAATCACAATATGCATCACGAGTCTAGTAGTCTCTTAATGCAAAGAATTTCATAGCATCGACTAGTTGTCCCACGGTGTGATATATGATGAGTGGTCAGAAAACATGTGAAAAACCAAAACTGGAATTGATAAACCCTAAAAAACCTATGACACAGTAATCTGATTGTACTATCGCATTTCACTCAAAAGATTGTCACCAAGAAGCAAATATCAACTAAATAAAAGTGTACCTGAAGCAAAGTAACAGCCATATGACGCAATAAAGTACTTCAAACAAATAGTTGAATAGTTAGTCAGTTGCAATTATTATCTACTGGCCAAAACGATTCTACTTTTAACCTATTATAATAATCAAGATTATTAGTCCCACAGGTTCCCAGTAGAACATACGGCCTCAGTAGCACGGCTTCATTACACTCTCTTCTCTGAAGACTTTTGAACCTGGCTCCACAACTGCCCACAAACTTTCATTTCTTCCTCACATGATCTCCTCCTTATCACCCCCACATCGGACGCTCAACTCGTCGTTTCCACTTTGGACTCCATTCGAGGGCCTCACCTGGCCTGACACGTGATGTCCCCAACCGGCCTTCTCAGTGTATGACCAACCCAGTCCATCTCCACTTTCCTCTGCATATTTGTTTGGCGATGGGCTTCTGGTTGCTTCATCTCCAGGCTAGAGTTGCTTGTTGCTTATTCTTTCTGGCTATCTGATTTTCACTATCGAGTGAGCGTAGGCGGTAGCTGTTGATGAATGTCTGTAGTTTGTTGGAAGTGCTTATCTTGACGCGCCAAGTTTCTGAACCATATAGATGGAGTGACTTAAGTGAAATTGGTGATGAAAATCCGGATCTTGTCAAGGCTTTATTCTGAGTGCAGTAGATCTCCACACAGGTTTCAGGTTAATGACGACCTGTCTTACGTTTGCAATCTTGATTTTGACATCCTCGTCTATGCCGCCACTTTTAGTTGAAATGATGCTACCTAGGAAAGTGGGTGAAAGAGAGTGCTTCCTTTATGTTTCTCTTTTTGATGGTGATTGGTGCTTGTTGTTGTTGATGCTTTTGTTCGTTTAGTATTTTCATCACCTTCGTCTTCTCTACGTTCACTTGAAGTCGCTTCTGTGTTGTCTCTTCTGTCAAGTTGTAAGTTTTCACCTGTAGATCTTGAAGTTTGTGTGATATTAAACATATATAATCTGCGAAATTCGAATCGATTAACTCTTGTAAACTGAATCAGCGAAATGCACAAAATATAAGCGGTACTTTCAGCCAAGAGAATAATACATTTTATGGCGTTTGAGATTAAAGTGCTACAATTAAAGCTAGATAGGTGATTCGCATCGCTTTCTAAAAGGAATATAAGCAAAACAGGTGTGCAACTCAACTTTTTGTCGCGCTTATAACTTGTTTAATTACTTTGAATGATGTAGTGGTATCTTAGCACAACTATGTAGTAGGAATATTTGATTAATAAGTTTCATGCGTGTGTAATTGGGCTGGAGATTTAAATAGTCTCAGCGGATCTAGGCATAAGTTATATCCATTACTTGGTTTAAAAATACTATGGTAAACAGTTAAAAAATTAACTAATTCTTCAGATAGCTTTAAATTTGGTTTCAAGGGTAGTGACATGTTATTCACCAGTAGTACTTAAGTGAACTAACTGCTAGAAATTGACTTTTCGTTGAATCTTGGTGAGCTTAATTCATAAACTATTTCAAGTCTGAGTAAAACTTAACGAAAATGATAAACTTACCGGAAAAACAAGACAATAATATATTGATTTCTGTACCTGAGTCGAAACAGTTTCAAATGAAGCAGGAGAAATAATAAAAAAAGGCATCACTAAAGACAATGGTATCAAAAGAAATCTGAGGGAAGCAATGTTGGAATAGTTGTATTTTTGATAACACGGGGAAGACAAATGGTGTAAATTTAGTCTTTACCTTTCGAATCTTAATGTCATAAAGAGCCTAAAAACCAGTTTACACTTTTAGAAAAGACTCAAGTTGCTAAATTTATTCTACCAGTCTCAAGTGAAGACAGGAGTAATACGAAGTTGCCTAATATCAACGATCATCTTTCTGAATGTGCTCCACTGGACGGGACTGGATCACACAACAAACTGTGAGGTGTGAGATGGGCATTCGCCGTATGAACGATAAAAAGACCCTAGAAGATATGGGTCCCGCCGATGATAGTTTATATTATTGATGGATTGTGGCTAGCAATGTAATCTAGGATGTGCACTGCTAACTGCGATCCATTATTAATATAATTAGAACACAGGCAGTATCAAGGCATCCTCACAGGAGCCCATTTGCCGATAGAGATCGATCAGTTCGGTCCAATCAACGACTATATGATAAAAAAAACAATTAAACTAATGATGATTTATGTCCAATTATTTATCGTACGAACTCGAAGATCTACAGGTGAAATTAACAAGTTGGCAGAAGAGGCAGCGATAACAGGACTCCAGGTGAACTTAGAGAAGATATAGGCGATGAAGATACCAAACCACCACCACCACCACCACCACCAACAACAACAAGCACCAATCACCATCAACCGGACAAATCTAAAACGAGTTATCGCTTTCACCTACCTGCCAAGGCAGCATCGTTCAAACTTATGACCGTGGCACAGATGAGAACGTCAATGCAACGATCGGAAAGATGGCAAAACAGGCCTTCATCAATCTGAAATCACTATGGAGATCTACTGCACTCCACTCCACTGCACTCAGCATAAAGCATGAACAAGATCCGGATTTTCAACACCAATAGCAGTCGAGTAAGTCAGTGCTTCTATGTGATGGTTGAGAGACGTGGCATGTTATGTGAAACATTCGCAACTAACTGCAAGCAAACGCCACCAACAGCTGCCGCCTACGCAGTATATTGAAGATGAGATGGATGGCCGGAATAATACGAATAAGCAAGCAGAATCTCTGCCCTGCCACTGGAGTAACTAAGCAGGAACCCATTGCCCAACAAATATTCAGAAGGAAGTGTAGATGGATTGGTCATACACTGAGAAGACCATTTGGGGACTTCACGCGTCGGGCCGTTGTGTGAAGTCAAAATGGGGGACGACGATTAGAGCGTCCGAGGGTGACATGGAGTAGATCGTGTAGGGAAGAAATAAAAGGTTGTGAGAAGTTGTAAAGCCAGGTTAAGAAGAGTGCAGAAAAGGGAGTGAAGTGGGGACGCGTTACTGAATCCCTATAATTTCTCAAGTACTCGGAGAACAAATAATAATACTAATGACAATAATAATAGTAAGTGTGACGCAAATTTATTTTGGTGGTTGGTAATTACTCTTCTAAGCTTTCTCTAAATACTAGGTGACTGACTTCTTTATCTATAATTTTCGGGTTTCTGAAGCTCATCGTATATTTAAGCATTACTGAGTTACCAATCTGATTACATTTGCATTCCTCAAAACAGCCTTCAGTTAGAAATTTTAGAGGACATGTTGAAGAATTTCATTTTTTGTACAAACGTTTAATCATTTTGTCTCCCAACATATGTTCAGGAGGAAAAGTTGAAGTATAACATGAAATTTCTCCTAGTTTTGTTATAGGTACTTCCATTTACTACTATTTTTTTTCAAGTTGGTATTCATCCTGGACTGACATCACTTCGAGGAGCAGTGGAAACCTGTGAGCACTAAACAGCTGTTTCGTCCTGGCATGGGACTCCCCAGCAGTACACATCCACGACCCTACCAAGGATCGAACCCGCGACCTTCAGGTTCCGTGGACAGAACATTACCATTGAGCCACTGGATTGGAATCCAGTGGTTCATATTCTTAACTTCTGTCAGTTCACGACATAGCGCAACCGCCACCCAATGTCATTGCTGAGTAACTGCCCTCACGACCATCAGGCTTGCACTATTGGTCACAACTTCTCATTGGAACTTCGGGAATCACCTCTCGAATCCAGTCACCAATGAGCATCAGTTCAATTGAATTTCGAAGAGGTTGTGGGAATTTAGAAATATTTCAAGTTGGTATTTATCGTAGACTGACATCACTCAGAATAAAACAATATATGGCCTATCAATAAGCTTATGACTCTCATGGTTGATTGAATTAATAAGGACAATAACTAGAAAGAAAAGTTATCCAAAAATGATGTTAAGAATACTTTTACTTCATTCATTCCGATGACTTGTGTGAATGCAATTTATCGCTTTTTGTTCATCATATTTCAGTGTTGGTTAGTAAAAGTGCACAAATAAAAGAGGTGGAGAAGAAAACTTGTGAAGTCCGCCTACGATTTACGCTTCGATTCACTAACTTCGATGATATTTACAAACTAACTAGTTAATGAGTGAACAGACTAGGCTGATAGTGTTGCACAAATTTATGTATGTGCGCTGGCAACAAATACACGAATACAAACTGATATTTGTGTGGACAGCACCAACGTATGTTCTTAAGAGAATGGAATATAAAATAGTGCCTATACTATAGAAATCGAAGGAAATTTTACAATGATGATTAACTTATATACAACTTGGAATTATAAGAATCGAATTATTAACATGATATATTATTATTCATGATTCGTATTACTATTCAAGCACAAACAGGAATTGATACCATTATTCCTATTATCCAATTAGCTCGAGAGACTTTAGTATAGTCTCATTTAATTAAATTGGAATATTAAGAAAGAGAATTACTAGTAAATAATGCCCAAACAAGTTCATTGTGATACAGCAACAAGTTCTATGAATAAATCATCTGTATTTAATCTACCCCATAAGAAATGGAATGTCCTTCGAACCGGTGTGATGTGGGCACAACGTTTAAAATCAGTGAAGTCTACAAAAGGAGATAGTGATTACGCTCAATTAAATAATAATGATGGTCATGCTAGCCAAACCAATAAGGAATATTGCACAAGTGGAATTTTTACTAGTCAAAATTGTACTGATGAGGTGAATGATAATAGTGATAATAAGAATAATATAAATTCAACTGGTCATTCACCGAAACGTACTGTTTCAAATATAACAAAATTGAACGAGAAAGATTACGATTACATTGACAGGCTTCAAAAACGTGGTGTAATCAAACATTCTTCATCAACCAAACAACTGAAAAGGTAAGTAGTTTTGTTGTACTATTTGGTCATCTCAATTGTGCTTAATAATTGAGTAGCAGTAATCTTTGGATAAATGTAGAGCAGACATTCTAGTTTGTGCTCAAAAGCATCCTATTGAAAAAGATGTATTTTTGAAGATGATGATATACCTTAAGAAGTGGTCTTCTTAGTGTCATAGCACTGAGTAACTTTTTTCCGGAAGTGTGAAAGACATCTTAGTTATATTTCCTTGTACACCTATTTTATAAATATATGAAGGCAGTACTGGCTAGCCATCAGCCTGATATAATGGTAATGAAGAAACCCTACTAAGGTGTATAGAAGATGATGGAAAAAGGCTGTAGTTCAGTATAAGGTTGATAGTTGTCTGATGCTTTCTGAGTTTACTTATTTTGTCCTGGACACTTCTTCACCTTGAGGACTAACTTCATAGAAATGAAACCCCCCTTTCGAGCCAAGGTACAGCTTGAAAATTTCATCATAAAACTTCTAAACATAACAGACACAATAAGCCACGATTGCTGTTGGCAAGCCATTGTAGGTAAGCTTCTCTTCATGCTTCAAGGTCAACAACACCATTCATCACCTTGTTGCAGAATTTTTCAAATAAAACTTTTCACTAGAAAGCAATAGAATATATATCAATAAGCAATTTATTTTAGCTGCGCCGGATATTTTGAAAGCACATTTGAAAAAGGCTTCTCATAAATACAAAGCACAGAGGTAACCCAACCTTGACATCATTCTTGGAACCAACAAAACTGAAGGCCAAACGGGTGAGCATTAATATAAGTGAAAAACCTGGACACTGTGGTAGAATGTAATTCCATATTAGATTTGTTTATTTGATATAAAGCGCACAGTGATACAGTATTATTTACTTGATTACGTTTCGAGCATAAATTATTGCTCATAATCATATCAATGTAATCACACTCCTTTCGACATCTGATTTTATAGTCCTGTCACCTGATCTCTCTTTGTTTTTTGTTTTTTGATTGGTAGTAAAGTTTTCCATATCTCTGCGTCATTCCTATTACATGTGTTGGGTGTGGATTCGATGAACAAAGATTCAGTAATTAATCTCTCTCCACCTAGCTATATTAGACTTAAGTACAGTGGTTTTGTCCCACCCTATTGTGTGGTTGTGTGTTAATGAATGTAATGCAATGGCTGAGTGTTTTTCTAGATTATTGATCTTATTGGGGTCTGTCGTTCTATGTTCAGCTAAATTCCTATGTTCTGTTAATCTAACTGACCCCGACCGGCTAGTTTGACCTATGTATTTGACTTCACAGTCATTACACGGAATTTGGTAGATTATATTATTTTGCTTAATTGGTTCTATCGGATCTTTTAGCCGACAAAGCTTACCTCTAAGTGAGTTTGTTGGTTTAAATGCCACCCTAATTCCAACCTTGTTGAGAATCCTACGTATGATTTCTGATGTTCCTTCCTTGTATGGTATCACAATAGAGGTGTTGATTTCCTTTCTACTTATGTTGTCACTATTATTTGTATTTGTATTAGTGTTATTATTTTGCTTCTGTGTTTGTGTGAATTTCTTAATAAAATGATGGGGATAATTATTAATTATTAACGCTTCTTTTATGCGTTTCAATTCCTTTTTTAAGTCCTTACAATGACTAGTGAGTTTCTCAGCTCTGTTATTTAGACATTTGACTAAACCCGCTTTAACTGACACTGGATGAGATGACTTGAAGTCTAGATATCTGTACTGTACCTAAGTCTAATATAGCTAGGTGGAGAGAGATTAATTACTGAATCTTTGTTCATCGAATCCACACCCAACACATGTAATAGGAATGACGCAGAGATATGGAAAACTTTACTACCAATCAAAAAACAAAAAACAAAGAGAGATCAGGTGACAGGACTATAAAATCAGATGTCGAAAGTGGAGTGTGATTACATTGATATGATTATGAGCAATAATTTATGCTCGAAACGTAATCAAGTAAATAATACTGTATCACTGTGCGCTTTATATCAAATAAACAAATCTAATATGGAAAGGGGTGAACACTTTAAACTTGTTAAGCATCACATAAACACTCAGATTCTATTATAATTTTCCTTTTCTCCCTATCAAGTGTCACCTGTTTCATTCATTTATATTGATTTAGCATTTCTATAACAATAGGTGCTGCTTCTATGTATGCTTAACATTAATTACAGCACTATTGGTAGATATTACCTAAATGTTGATAGTAATGCTTTATACTGATTATGTAATTCAGCTTATTTCTTTTGATCAAAATGGTTTTTTGCATGGATTACATTACTATATGCAGTCAGTGAATAAACATCAAGTATTCACGATGCAAATCTGCAAATTTAATCAATTAATGTCTATGTGAACTACATTGGATACTACTGGGGATTCTATGACAGTCTAAATCATTGTTAATCGTTTTGCATTTTGTGTTCATGTGACTGTTAAATGTAAGTCCAATTTATCCGAATCTATTGAGCCATTATTCGACTTCTCCATACTGTGTTCAAAGCAGTTAGAAGGCTATGTAATGACGAACGGATACCTATTGAGCATTTAATCTCCACTGAGTGAAAAATGTTTAGGCAGCAATCAGAAACCATTTGTATGCTTAATCAACATTTTAATAATCTTTTTGTTCAGGTATAATGCAGCTGTTCAAACGAATGTGCTTACTGTTGCTTAGCAATTTACGATCAGCCATTCATTTGTCTAACCAGCTTATAAACAAATTTATCAGATTTTCTATTAAGATGTAAACGCCTCCTTTTCACTGTTACAAAACTGTAATAAATGAGCAGATAAATAAGATATAAGTAGAGTATCATTATAGCAGGTGAATAACAAATGCAAAACTTAATTAACTTCTCATCAAACTATCGTTTCAAAGAATAAACTTAAAGATTGACTGCAAAATGAATTCAATTGTCAATAGTTTGTTTTGAATAAAAAGTTCAAGTCACTGGTATGATAATTGAAAAGGATAACTGGATTTGTACTTTTCATTTAAAATACAAATGGAATATCTCGAAAAAATTAAAGGTTGAACCTGAATGCCTTTAGCAAGAGCTAACTAACAATTATTTTCTAAAAGTATTTAGCTCCAAGTAGTGACAGACACGATCAATTCCTTCATATCTTAATTACATATAAAGTCCTTGTTTGTCAGTCTTATCAGTGAAGTTCACAGGGGAATTTTTCCTAGTATTAGGTTACTTAAACGGAGCTTGGCATTTACCCATTTACAAATTAATATAAGGCTGGAAGCTGAACACTTAAAACAGATATTTTTGTATTTCTTCAACTCAAAAATTATGACTAACTGTGTGCCTCAGTTTAGTAGCTCACATAACAAACTTTGTGCTCTTATCAATAAAAAAACTCAGTTTACAAAGCAAAGACTCAAGAATTGAGAGTACTTTCTTTCAACAAGCCAGTGATGTTTTGAAAATCAAGGGAAACTAATGGAGAAGAATAACATGAGCTACTTTTCAAATATTAATGTCCATAACTAATTTTCCCTATCATAAGCTTGCCAAAGTTGTGTAAGTATCCCTGAATCTTAAAAAAAGTGTATACAAAAATTCTTCCTAAGCTTTGCGAATCTTAATGAATTAATAAAAAGGTCAGTGTGCTCAAAAACTGAATACTTCATTTACATGGTATTTCATTCAGTAAAAATGCTCAAAATCGTTAATATTCACTTCATATACCATCAATTTAATTCCTGTAAGAGACATAAATTTAACTGGATGGTTTGGGAATATTGATTTATTTCAAGGCAGTACTCATCACGGACTGACACCATTTGGAAATCTAGAGGCAATGAACTGCGAAGGATAGAATCCCGGTCTCGCAGTAGACTTAATATCATCCACCTAATAAGTTAGATTGCAATGGTTAACATTTTACCTGGCAGGGTCGTGGGTGCTCATTGCTAATCCGGGAATCCTAGATTTTCAAAAGTTCTCCAACACATCATTTCATGAGTTACATATCAAAGTTATTGAGTCGGCTCCTATGAAACTATAAACTGAGCTATATACTGTGCAGAGCTCATTAATGACATACTTCGAGATGAATTTCCCGAGGTTACGATGAAATGTCATGAGCTGTAGGGTTAACCAAGTTGTCTGTAGAGATACATATAAGCCAATAGCATTGAATAATGGTCAAAGTCATATAGCAAATTGACAGAAGTGGAGAGTTTTGGATCTTATCCCAGTCACTGGTTGGTAATTTGCTTGCTGCGAGACCTGAAATTCCTGTGTTTGACCCCTGGACGGGTGATAGGTGTATATTGTTAGGGAGTTCCATGCTACGTGCAATACCTTGCTGGTGTCATGAAGTTTTCAACGGTTTTTTGGTTGACTTATATATCTTCATGTTTGTAAACTAATTCAAAATAATGCTTCTCGAATTCACTGTCGATATTCACTTCACGTTCAAGCGTAAGTTCCACATAATATGTAACTGTGTTAAGATGGGTTTTACTCTTGGTTCACTTCTGGATGACTTTTCCGTGTTTCTCTGCAACCAAATTCACTTCGACGAAGGGTACAAGGATGACATTTTTTATCGTATGTGACGAAGAATTCATCTCGAATCACCTCTTCAGCACCTTTGATGTTTCTTAATAATACATGAAATTCACACTATGATGTAATTCAAAGTAAATGTTGCTATTCCTAGATATGCTAATATCACCTTGATCATGTAGTTCTATCCGGCGGTATATATACAGAAGACTAACATGAAATAGGAAACCTGTCAACTTTCATAGCCTTCTCCATCTCATGAGTAAACAGAACTTTGTAAGTTCGTTATTTTCAGTGATTCGAGAGATCTATTCTAAAGATACACATAAAATGATTTGAAATGTCTACATAAAATTCAACTAGAAAGTGCAAATTCACATAGAGACATTACCTGTGACACAAAAGGAAAGCCACAGTGCAAAGTTTATTGACCGTCTCCAATAAAA